CAGACAGACACGGTGAGCACCCCTCCATACTCCATTGCTGAACACTTACTGCCCTCAGTTTGCATCCATCCGTAAGCCAATCACTTCTGCTTACGTCACTAACTTTGAGAAAGTGAGCACACCTCCTACCAGAAGACCAACTCTTCGCTTTCCCCCCCCGACTACAACTCTTTGTCTCTGTTTCTCAGCCCCTGAAGTGGGGGCAGACAGTGTCTGCTGCAGTTTGGAGCTGAATCAAAGCAGCTGCAGTGCATGGAAATTTGGGAAGATCAGCATTTGGCATTGCACTGAGGATGGAAATTTGAATTTGAACACGGCTTCTGCTACCAGCCTTCACTGAGGACACATATAATTGCGTGTTCTCCTGAGTTTCCTAGTTAGACTGGAGTACCTCTCCCATAGTCCGTTGTGGTGGGAATGTATTTCAGCAGCTCCCAATATCTGTTAAAGCCAAGCCATTAAAGCAGTATCAGGGTGCTTTATTACCCAGCTGACTGCAGGGGCCGGGATCCATCTCAGCTATCTTCTGCCATCTCAGAGGCCAGGGAGCTGGGTAGGCTCCCTCTGTAGTTAGTGGAGGAAGATAGGCATCTGCAGAGAGTAATCCATCCCACCTCTCTCTCTCTCTCTCCATTAACTGAAGAAGAGCTCAGATAAGTAGTTCAGAGCAGACACATTATTTCTGAGTGGCTGGAGCTAGACAAGATGAATTCCATCCTCAGTGTCCAAAACACTAACATATGTAGTTTCTCATTACTTATTACAGTTGCAATGCCTGTTACGCATTGATTTAGGAACAGATCTTTTCAGTGCGATTTCCTTTTCTTTGTGCAAAACTTTCATTATGCAGTTTTTGCACCCTAGCACTCAGGAACGTAAGTGACAGGACATTTCCTGCACAGACCCACAAGTACACCTGCAGACCAGGAGCTGCATGTGTCTTGAGTCCCTCTGAGCATGCCTGAGCAGTGGTGTTAGAGCCCCTGATGACGCAAAGGAGCTCGAGCAGAGGCTGCTTTTAAATTCAGCTCTCCAAGGGCCCCAAATCCCTGTGCTCTGCTTCCAACCATTTGGGTTTTGCTTGCTTCGAAGCATTTTGGAAGAGCAGCTAAGAGGCCAGAACGGCTTTTGTGAAACGATGCTGCTTGGGGAACAGACATGCGTGACCACCCTGCCTATGGTCATCCCTGTGACGTGCCTCCCTGCAGAACAGGCAGATGGCACGACCCTTCCCACTCCCAGCCCTCGGCCATCCCAGCCATGCCATAATCCAGCCTCCAACCGTTTCCCGAGCGGGTCCGCTCCCCTTCTCCCCACAGGGGTGTGGAGGAAGACGGGCCCTGGGCTGCGGCATCTCCATAGTGCTGCGCGCTCTCAGCATGGTGGTACCTCGTACCGCTGCATGCCTCGCATGCCAAAACGCACGGCGCCCAAGTCTGGGTTACAGCGGTGTAAGTCAAAAGGGGCTCGTTATGAGCTTGGATACTACCATTTAAAGATAAGCTTCTCCATGGTTACCGCTCTCACGCAAGGTCACTTTCCTGCCAAACCTCCTCTCCTCCCTCCCTGGCGCTCTCTCCTTCCCCCACCACTATTTTTTCTTCTCCAAGCGTGCTACATCAAAAGAGAAAATGAAAACATTTAAGCTAATCACAGTCTGACTATTTTAATGCAGGCTGTAGGAAAGGAAACATGTAAGCCAAGTGCTCTCACTGTGCAAGCAGAAACACACTCTCAACCTCATAAAAGTAGTATCTGAGAAATAACACTTGATTAAAGCAGCCAGTCCTTCATTTAAGTAGGTGCTTATGGCAGGGAAAATGTCCAAGGTTTCTCTAGAGCAGGCTGCTGGCCTATCACAAACAGCAGGAGCAGGCCAGGCAGATGAATTACGGCGAGACAGCTGGGTTTCAGCCGGGGCGCAAGGAGATCGCCATTATCCCGTCCGCCTTTCTGACACGAATGCCTCTCCCCAGAGAAACCGAGTCATTAAAAGCCAGCTCGTTCGCTCCCGACAGGCAGTACGCATTGAGTGAGAGGTGATACATTTTCATTTTCAGTGAGAAATCTTAGCCACCCCGAGGAGCGGCTCGCTTGGGAGAGTGGTTAATGGAATACAGGGCCTTTCATCTCTGCCTCACCGCCGCCAGCGCGGCCTGGCTCGGTAGCAACCCAAAAGTTATGAGGTAACGGGCTGTTTCGGTGACCTCCAGGAAACGAGTTTGGTGGGTTCGGTCCAGTTTCCAGCAGACAACAGCTAGGACCACGAGCGGTGTTAAACAGAAACCATACCAACAAGCTGAGCGCACGGCAGGAATTGCCCACACGTAGCCGTGCCACTGCTTCCCCCGGCCTTCGGCGCTGAGGAGCGCAGTCGGCCAGCCTGCTCCACCGAGACAGGGATCCCCAGCTCCTAAGGCACCTGTTTTGTCGTCATTTGCATGAGCAATGTGTGTTAAAAACAACAACAACAACAACTCTTCTTTCGCTTTCTCTCAGAGCTCACTAGTATTTAGCCAGCACCGCTTCGAGCTGAAAATGCCACAAACCTGAACTACCAAAGAGCTTTCCAAAGACTGGGCCCCGCAGCCCAGGCCTTTCCAGTGCATCACTTCGCAACTGTAAAATTCTGTTTTTGTAAGTAATTCCTCATTTTAATACATCTAGTGAGTGTGGGACAACCCTATATCTCCCCAGGAAAACAAACCACGGCCACCCCTCTTTACTCTCTTCCCGCTCAACGCTGCCTGCAGTCCCAGCCTGAGCTACCCCTGGGACAGGGATGGCCTATGGTGTCTAGAATAATCCACCGTTAGAAAAGCTTTCTCCCAGGTAAAATGCAGAATTCACCCTGAGGTGAGAGTGGCTTGAATACTTATGCTACCCTCCCCCCCCTAAAAAAATACCTTGGCAATAACTTGTGCCACTTCCTCTGCTGCGTTTCCACAAAAGACTCACTAAATAGTTACAATCTGGAATCCCAGAAGAAATCTAATTTGGGGTGAGAAGCTACCTTTCATCTGTTAAATTATGCACAAGTTACAGCACATCACAGACAAGCCTGTGCCCATCACATCGCATGACCAGATAGGTATCTTTAAATAAGACATCCACCAACTGCTTAGATAAGAGATTCACCAGGGACCCATTCCCAAAAGGGAACAGACGTAAAGCAGGCAGCAAACTGCTGTCACAGCCCTGAAGATGCCCCCATTACTTGCTTCAAATTTAAATTACATAGGAATTAGCATGGACCCAAATTCTGAAGGAAATGGGCAAGAGGGTAAAGAAAGACATTGTAGAGAGAGGGAAGGGCGGTGAGGTGCAGCTCACACACAGATGGCATTTCTTTTGCTGTCAGTAAGATTCAGAATTAGAGCTGGACATTTTACACAGATGTCATTAACATCCAAAACCCTCATACTGTCTTTCTCGGAAGAGATCATTAAGCCTCTCGCTTCAGGCTTTAAATGTCTTCCTATCAGTAGCTGATGCGTTTCCTTCTCTAACATAGCTGAGACTGGTAACCGCCAAGGAAAGACCCTCAGATCTGACTCTATCTTCCTATATTTTTTTATATTGCTGTCATCATGTCTCCCACCTCCCATGCTCTTCTTGGCACAGTTCCTTTCGTTATTTAGGGAAAAAAGGAAAGTCAATCAAGGAGATACTGGCACACCAACAACTGGGCAATAGGCGATATCTGTACCATATGTACAAAACAGCAAAGCACAGCCCAAACAGATACAAGCATGTCTCCACAGACTTCTCAGCCGTTCAGACCTGCCTTCTCCTGAGCAACATGACTAAGCAAAGCTGGAGTGTAAAGTTACTGCTTTACAGATGAAGCTGAAGTGACAGGGGGACTCACTGAGTACACAGGGAGCAATGTTACTCAGCCCAGGACAGGAGGCTTTCAGCAGAGCAGGAGCACAGGGCATATATCACTGTGACATGCGTGACAGCGTATTTTCATTATTACAGGATTAAAACTTAGGAAAAAACCAAACAAAATGACCCGAGCAGCCTAATTCCTACCACAGAAACAGTGATGATTTTGTGTAAACTAATTTTTCAGATTACCAGGACTTTTTTTCCCACAAAACACTCTAAGTTCTCTGCAGCAGTTTCATTAAATATGTGTCTGTGTCTATATATAAATACATATTAATTTTTGAATTCTACCCTTCTCCATTTTTTAATTTTATTTTCCTGATGCAGGAGAGCTGTATCTGGTACTGAAAAAGCTCTTGGCATTCTACTGAAACGTAAAGTTCCCCAGCCACACATCTTCTGCTGATAACCAGCCCATCGATTGCAACAAAAACAGTGATTTGAACTTTGCATTTTACTGGTCTCACAGATCACACCAATGAAGTCAAAGTTGTCTGCCCCAACTCATTCAGCATTAACTTCTAACTTAATGGAAGTGAAAGAGAAGCCTGTGCTCATTACCCAAAGGATGCAATTATTACTTCCTCTCTATATTGTTGCTAGTCCAGGATAAAATCCAGGATATGACCTTTTCATTAAGCATCAAGCCAAAATCCACCTGGGACAGCCTAAGGAGGCTACCCTCATCCTTTCACTCAGCAATTCAGAGCAACAACCCTTGCCGCATACAGCTGAAAGGAACCCTCGTGAAAGATAGGTTTAAGGAAACATTTCATGAATGTTGATTAATAGACAAAACCTATGAAGCTTTCTGTCTCCTCCTGCATGATCCCCTCACAAAAAAAGCATCACTAATTTAACACATCAACTCTCTCCCAAATATCTTGTTCTGAGTACAGTGTAAGGTCACAAAAAAAAGATGATAAACTCAGAATATGAGTAATATAATGTATTAGTGCAGTAAAATCTTCAATAGAAACCTGAACACCGAGAGAAGAATACATAATAGTGTTGAATTCCTTGTATTTTTTACTTTGTTATGGCAATAAAAACGTGCCTTTTGAAGTTCATACAGGGAGATACAATGCCAAAAGGCAAATACTTACAATGCAAGAGCACTTGGTACATTTATTCCCTTCAGGCCTAAATTCTTCTCCTTCATTATAAAGTCTCCCTTCAAATATACAACCTGGAAAACAGTATTTGAATAAGTTTAGCTCAAGATAGCACGCTGACTTTTCTCTGTAACACATCCCATCACAGGACAATATGTAAAGTAAACCGCACCAACCTCTCTGACACAGAAATCACTTCACAAGCCTTTACAGAGGCCTTGAGAACCCCCAAATACCTTTTGAGAAAAAGGAAGCATCCTTCTACAGCAGAAAAATTTGCACCTATGATGTCAAAGCTTAGTCAGGTCTGACCTTAAAAGTGGCTTTGAAACACTTTTCTAAGTCGTTTGTTTTTTTCTACTCATTCTTACTTTCTGAGTTTGTATTCTTAGCAAATAATTTTAAAACTATTTATTATTAATTAGAATCTAATAAACCCATTCTATCACAACTGGAACAGTTCTTACCTACAAAACCTCTGTTAAAATCAAGTTATCCTATAAAACCATGCTAATTTGCCACCGTGCTTCACAAAGGCAACCCATTCCCAGGCCCATTCAAAAACTGCGTCTCCTTTTTTAGGATTACTCTTCTACTTCCTCTCCTAACAAAATCCCAGTCATCAGTCACGCCAAGCCAGCTGACAGACCCTCTGAAAAATGACATGAATACATCTGTGGATATTGCCACAGGCTATTGCCTCTGCATCTCCTAGTCTGCCTGTCCTCTACTAAAAAACATTAAGTATGCTCTTCTTGTGTCGTTTAGTGCATTGCGAGCCACTGGCCCACATTTCACCACACATTTCATTACACTTGTCAAGTATAACAGAGAAGTTAGAGGCAACCTCCCAGGTAATGATGGTTATCATTAGAAATAAAGTTGCACATGTGGAACCGCATCTTCCCATGAAATCTCACCTGGACACACAGGACAACACATTCCCGTGAGTTTGGAAGGGTTTTTGCAATGAACAACACACTGTAACTCTGACTCTATTATCACTCCTTCCTGAAAAAGAAGCAGATCAGACATGTTCATTGTTAGTACTGTGGTTGCCTTAATAAGCAGAAATCCACAAATGCTAGAGGTACAATTAAAGCCCGGGACATGCTGCGGAGCACTGGATTTCAAAACCTCTTTTCTTTCTGTACCTGCTGCCTGGTATCCGGATTCATGTTAATCCGCAGCCAAAAGATCCACTTGAGTTCCCCTGACTCCAGATGCAGGATTTGCCTTAAAACGCATCAGGTAAAAAACACAAGCACCTTCTTAGGAAAAGGAATCCTGCTTTATCAGGAATCCTTAGCCTCAGTAATCTGCCATGCAGCTCTGGTGAAAACAGGCCAGACACAAGGCATTCTCATCCCTCTCCCCTTGGAGGAAAAAAGACTTCGAAAGCAGATAAAAGCATCTTGTTCTGTAGAGGGGAGACACTTATCTTTGATGCTTTGCCTGATAAGTATTAGTAAATTAACATTTCCTGTACTTCTTATTGAAGAACTTAAAGAGTCCTCCTGAACAAATCTAGGTGTGAGGATCTGTGCACAAAAGGCTGCTACTTTTTTTTTTTTCCCTTTGCAGTTGGAGGTAAGGGAAACCTCTTTTTAAAATGTGTGGATCTAGGGTAAAGAGAATCACCCAGCTTCGCATTTAGACATTGAAACAGGCAGTAAAGAATTGTTCATTTCATGTAGCTAGTAGCAATAAGAGTATCTAAATTTGTATTGCAAGTATCTTTTCATTAAGTTCAAGGATACAGAATACTGCTGCTTCAACTTCATTCTTCTCAGTCTACTTGTCTTTAAAAATGTGGGTGGGTCTCACAAAGTGGAAGTATCACAGAAAAAGAGAAAAATCTTGAAACTCTCTTCCTCTGTTTGTAGAAGCTCTCCATACTTACTCATCTCTCCTCTTTCCAACAGTTACAATTCTTAGTAGCTGCCTGAGTGTTATTATTAAAACCAGATAAAATTGTCTACAAAAATAGCAGACCTATTCACAGACAGAAACCAAAATTCCCTATATAATTACTTGGTTTGTGCCTGAAAATGGACAATCTTGCAAATGTTATGGTTGCAGATAGGCAAGCTACCAAAAATACCATGGTGTTAACAGCACAGGAGCCCAAGAAAACAAGATTTAGTTGTGAGTTTCTCTTAAAGAACATCCCAGGTTAAATCTGTGGACACGCACACGCACACAAGCATCCAATTACTAAAATAATAATTTGTATCTCACAAAAGGCTTTGCATGCTGAAAAATAGAGGACTTCTTTCAAGGTAAAGACAGCAGGAAATGGCATGGCTGCGTACCTCTCCTTCAGCAATGTTTGGGTATCACAGTACTCAAGTCACATAAAACCTATCCTTTTGAATGTTTGGTTATATCTGGCCACATCTGAGTGGATCTGAGCTACTTTAAATGCAAAGTCCATATTGCGCTTTGGGTATAAAATATTTCAGGTTATTTGGATTGAATAAAAAAGGGCTCAGAATTTCATGGGAAAAGCTCACCACTCAATTAGCACGATGCTGATGACATCCTTACCTGGCACTGGTATGTAACACAGGGATTGCTAGGGAGGTGCCATTTCATGGAGCTGTTGTACGTGTTTCCTTCAAAGCTGCAATCTAGAGGAAGAGACAGCAGCATGTCAATTCAGCTGAGTGCAACGATCTCGTGAGAGGCTGCCAATGAAGATCACAGAGCAGCATCCTAAATGGAACCCGTCCTCTCCCCTGGGTTAACAGAAGAGGTAGAGCTGAGAGCTGGAACTGACAAGAAGGATCACGTGCTGGTAGGGCTGGCAGCACCACCGCCCCAGACATCTGCTGCTGATGCATGACTGGCCAAACTCCTTGCTAACCACAACCGTTCAATACAAACCAAAATCAGTGACAATTTACCTAAGAAATAGATGTCGGTGCTTACTCTGCAGTCCATTCAAGAGCTGCTCAGCCACTTGTGCACTGCAGCGGGGAAAGGGAGGAGAGAGGGTAAGAGAAGAGCTGAAAACATTCATCATCCAGCCTGGCCACGCTATCCTCATCCATTAACCAAAACCCCCGGGAATGCTCTTCAGCCAGCGCAACTCAGCATGGATGAACTGACGTCAGCAGAGATAACCCTCCTTTATACTGTTTCACTTCCACGACAGAAGAGATCAACATCCACATAAACTAAAAGCCATCAAGCTCTTCTGTGTGGGCGGTGAATCACTGAGTGGGGACATTTTGGAGTCCCATTGGGTTTGGCTTTATATGTCTTTGTGTGTTATATGACAACTTTGTTAAAAGATAATAGGTTGGTTTGCCCATGCACAGGATCAGCACCCATTTTTTTGTGCAAAATGAAGTTTCATTGAGCCGTTTGGAAAAAAAAACACAGACACTAATTTTCATATTTTTTATTACCTGTTCCTACTAGTTTCCCTTCTCACTCCTTCACTGTTTTCTGGTATTTTGCAAAATGGAAAACCAAACAGGAACACAAAGAAAAGAATAAAATAACTCACCAGAAAAGCAAAACTAGAAAAGGCATATTAAGTAGAAATAAAATATTTGTTTTAAGAGACTTAGTTTATTACTGCAGAATTGTTTCAATTAAAAATTAGTTCTTTGGAGAGCTAAAGTGTTTCTGAAAATAAATTTAAGAAGAAACACATGCCCCCTTTCCTACAGGAAAAATGCCCATTTTCCATTTACTGCTCTGAGGGTTGTTTCCTAGTCTATCTTATTCAAAATGAGCTTGACCAAAGAGCCCATGAAACCAACAGGAGTCTTGCCAGAGACTTTGAAACACAGACATATACATTAAAGTCACCAAGCACAAAACTACAATCAGTCAAACGATGCCCACGGCACCGTTCTCTTTCCACACCCTACCTCAGCTGCTACTCTAAGTCATTCTCTGCTGTGTAGGGTGCACTGTCCTGAATGGCTTTTGGCTACATTTTACTCCCTTCTGAAACTAAAGGCAAGCTATCAGCCTTACACGGGTAAATCTTTGAGCCCACTGTATAAGAAACCTTCAGGGTCATAGCTCTGAACTGCCGAGGAACTTAGAATCCCCACAAAATAATTTTGAATTCAACCCAAAATTTAAAGGAAACCTGGTATATAAAGATAATTTACAAATGTGTTAACTGCCTCCAGTTAAGATCTTAAACAACAGAAGACTTGTACTTCAGGATGTGCAGTATTCAGAAATTTTTCCAGGCTACATACAAAGCAACGTAGCAGAAGTTTGCAGATGCTGTGGCTCTTTCACTTACCTAAGCGGAAACAGGTATGTTTTTAAAAGAGTTGATCAGTAGTCTAATAGCTGGCTGTGATAATTTAATCTTTGACAAATATTGAAAGGTACAAAATATACATCTGAATCTCACATTTTTTTTAAGTATCAAAACCCCTGTGAAGCGATTTTGAATAATAAAAAAGTGTTCAGATTCTCAGCACATTAAATGCAGTTCTGTGTGAGCTCTCATACACGCAGGCCAAGACGTCAAGAGAGGAACGTGAAGCCCTATACTCCCTGTTACGCGTCTTAGAAGTCCCATTCTGAAAAACACCTAGCTGATCTTATAGTACAGTCTCATTTACTGCTCAGTGCAAACCCCAATGAACAGCAGAGACTGTTGAACGTGTTTGAGCATCCTCAGGTTGCAGAAGCACAGGCCATACTGGCATACTGGTTGCATTCCAAGAAAGAGTTTACACATGTGCTGGACATTCAAGATGGAACAAGCTGTGTTGTTAAATATCCGTGTGCATGTTTTACCAAATGGGTCTGGTATCTTCAGCACTGGGCAGAATCAAGGGCCAGGTTGGAAACTGGCAATTGCAAAATACCTTGCATATTCGCTCACCAATTATGTTCTTTAATTTAAAATGTTTCCTCTGTAAGAAATCTAATGATCCTGGGCTAATCTGCATGTACAGAAGTGCATATTAAACTGAAATTTTCAGTTTAAGGATCAGTCTGGTTGAGAAAGCCTGAAGATGGTGCATCCGTCCATGCAGTCACCACGGCACTCGCTCAAAGCGCATATCCAAGCTACGCTACGAAATCCTCTGCCCTGCAGCATCAGCCATTGCCCTCGTGGAAAGCAGCAAGGGGGGAGCCAAACTCCTCCTGCCCGCAAGCCATTTCTGTCACTGATACATGGTCCTGTCAGCACTGAGGGACGGCACAGCAGAAGTAACCGTGGCAGAGAGAGCTTGCAGGCAGCAAAAGGGAAATTGAGAAATGGAGACCAGGATGGAAAAGTCTGCAGCAGCATCAGAGATACCAAGATCACTCTCGAGCTTTGGCACAGGTCAGCAGGTTGAATTAGGGGGACAGAGCAGCATCGTGCAAGCACTAGCACGAGGTATGGTGGAACCTGGATTTCAGCAGATGCTCAGTTGAGGAAAACAGCCTGAAAGGAGGGGAGAGTTATCCAGTAACACAAGCAGGCTTGATGAGAGCTGGAGGAAGGCTGAATGTCAGGCAAACTGAAGAGAGCACAAGAAAGGAAGTGCTTTACAATCTCCAGGGGAGATTTTAACCTGTCTTTGACCAGAGGTGTGTGCTGACACTCTGCCCTTTGGATGCCCCAGAGCTACATCCACCACTCACTCTTCAAAAGGAAAAAGAAACAAAGCCCACGTACCAGCTAGTTTTTTTGAACCTCACTTTCCATGCACAAATGTCTCAGCTGACACCTGCAAACATATACCCAGACTTTCCCAGACCATCTATTCATAGCACAGAAGTTTATGAGCCTCACCTAAATCCAGCTGAGTGAAATCTGTCTTGCTCCATGTGCCAACTCAGTCCAGCTGTTCTAGCTTGCCCATGGTTAAAGGTCCACCATATTTGGCTTGAAAAGTAGTCACTGAATATCTCGCGTCCAAAGGCATCAGTAAAGTCCCTGATGTCAATTTCTACAACACGGTATGGTGGAACATACTTCAAGTTCCTAAAAGCCATTTTAATTCCCTTTGGAAATATTATTACATTAACTTACTGTCCCCATCCACCATTTCAAAGGGGGAGCAGGAGAAAACAATAAATCGTGAAAGATCAGAGCTTAGCACAATCACTGAAACGCCATCCACTTAGTTCTGCCTGAACACATACTTAAAACAAAACTTTAAAAGAAAGGGCTATGGAGGAGGTTTTCAAGAGGGGAACCCGAAAAGCCTGAGAATGTTCTAAGGAGTACACGAAAAGTAACAGATTCTACATTAATAGGTAAATTTGATCCCATTGCATATACCCCATAAGGAAAACCTTTAGGATTCCACATACGGAAGGAAGTTATGTATCAGTGGTCTACATAAATTTAAATGGAGCTAAGGTGATTCACATCAGTCAAGGAGTGTGTCCTAATTTTTTAGTCTTTCTTTAAGAATAGCTGCTGCTTTATTAATGTAAAATATTAACTCTCAGTTAATGGTAAGTTTTGTTACTATTACCAATTTCAACCCAAATAGTTCAGATTAAGTCCTGGACAAACACGAAAGCTGAAAGTTGCTTATCTGAATCAAACCAAACCACTGAATACGTTGAAGTTTGCCAGTTGTATATGCAGTGGAAACTGCTAATTACCTTCTGGTCACCTCATAAAGGCAAAATGATCCTCCAGACTTGAAACATTCCTGCGCAAAAAAACCCTGATAAAATAGTTAAATCACTTCTAATTTACTAATTTAGCTACTTTGTTTCAATATTGTGCATGCCTTATTTGAATACCTTAGTTTCAAACATAATAAACCAACCTTTAGCTGATTTAATTTGAAAGAGAGTAATTTAATTCCAAAGCAAGCATCCTCACATGGAATTGGAATGGAATAACAAACGAGGCAACTTGTAGCAGATATTGTTATTAGCATATGGACCAGTTGACAATCAGGAAGCCATCTGTCTTTCCAAATTCAGTAACATTTTTAAATGACCCTTTTTTTTCTTCCCCAGACAGTCCAGCACAGAGCAGTGTCACGAAGACAGGGACATTGACTGCAAAAGGCAGTTTAGTAGTGCTAAAGCTCAACCAGTGTCTTCAGGAGTTCATTAAAAACAAGCCTTTATTACTCAATTTGACATTGCCTTGTAAGATTCCAGAAGAGATTTTTGCCTATTTTAGGCTAATGAGAATTTTATGGACAAGTCATTTCCTTATTGTCCCAAGAGAAAGTGATAGATTGGTACACAATAGACTGGATCACCATCCCTCATTTCTTCAGCATCTTTCTTCTGCTATTAAGTCTTTTTCTTGCTTTCCCTCCACTTTCTATTTTAAAAAGTAACCTCTCCACTGGCATGGAAAATAAACATTAAGAAAAAGAAAACAGTCAGAAGACATGTTTTATTTAGTGTTTGATGAATTACACCTCAGGGAAGTATCCAGGCATGCTAACACTAAATATCATTTCTAGCCAAAAAAAAAAAAAACAAAACAAAACAAAAAAAACAACCACCACCACAAAATCACCAAAAAAACCCCCCCAAAAACCCCACACAATAACTTGCACATTCTGCAATATTTCCCTGGCATGAAATCTGTTGGCCAAAATAAGAGAACTGTGAATCACACATACACCTATTATAAAATATATTTTCACATCTTAATGATGGTGAAGCCATT